GATCGACAATGAGCTGAAGTGTCCAGTCAGAGTGGTATTGATGTGAAGGGTAGTTGCTCTTACGGCTATCGCTGCTACTGCTTTAGCCGGCTTCAGTGACGTTTATGACTGACCCACCTCTGTCGATCATGCGCCATGTCCGTTACCTACTTCACAGTTTTCTTTCCATCGTTTGCTCCGTACACTGCCGTCTCAAAAAGACCTTCAGCGTCGGGTCTTAATTTGTCCGCCTCTCTTCCGGTGCTGTCTAGAATCGAAAAGACGTTCAATGTAATGGAGATGATATCGTCTGGTGGACGTCTCAGCAGAAGCCCTAGACAACGCAGTCACCGTTTTTTCATGACAGTAAAGGCCTGGATGATATTGCAACTATGGTGTTAGAAATATGGTCAATAAATCGTCTCCATGAGATGTTTCGTAAACACGAGTGATCGAAGGATTTTAGTTTCCTCACATACACAAGGAAGGAAAAAGACGCTAGCCGTAATATGCAAAGGAAGCAAACAGAGCTGTCCAAACATGATAGTCTGTTTGCATAATGAAGTCATACAAGGTAATATAACTATAAGCGGGAACACTTGTCAATGTTTTGTGAGATAAGGCAAAACCGACCAATGACGCAGCTTTGGTGAAAGGTTGGTAGACGAACATGTTAAAATGAAATGCAAAGTTGTTGGAAGGAGACCATGGAGACATCAAAGAACCCTATGGAAAAAATGGCCCAGCGTTCATACAGGAAATCAGAAAAAATGACCAAAAGAAACATATGGGTAGACTTCGTTCATAATGAACATAGATGAGAATTGCTTCCATAATCGATCAAAAGCACATTCTTAAGAAGGAAGTTCACATTTTGTATTTTATGAGGTCGTACTTTTAACTGTTATTTCACAAGGCGACTCGTTTGAATGTTGTATGTATAGCAGCTGACGTTCATAAATCTGATTCACTGCCAAAGTAAAGTCTGTTTCAAAGCCGAGACAGCATACAACTTCTACATGGAATCAGAAGGGCTGTTCATTTTGGTTTAGCCTCATTGGGTTCATTTCTTAGAGTTCATTAGAAGTGAATTGTATATGACGAGCAGAGAGTTGACAGTACCAGTAATGAAAATAATGCCTGTTGGCAGCTGTTGATCAGACCAATCCAGAACATGGAAAAAACAACTTTTCTGCAAAATGCGCCCTAGCCTGAGACAAAATCTTTGCTTCGATTTATGTATCCAGTTTTACAGTAAGTCGTAAACAAATGTTCATAGGATAAGAGCAACAAGAAACTGTGTGACTGTATAAAACTAGTGTTTATACTAGCAAGCTAAACATGCAAACAGTGGCAGAGTATGCCACCCTTACCATATTTAATATCACAGGGAAGAGGACGAATTTATTTTTTGAACGTTAAGATGCGTCCAGATCTTTGTCAATTGGGTGATCAATCGCTGAACGACCGTAAAATCGACTTTTCCTCTGAGCGCTATTACGCATTCATTGTTAGGAGCAACGGCTGAAAGTGGTAATTGTGACGACTGGTATCATGTGAACACCGTCGCTCTTCGGCGGCTCTGTAAATAGCCCAAGTGCGATTAGTTGATTGGTTCGCTGTCGAAATATAGGCTACTGTAGGTCAGAAGCATTCTTTGCAGTCAGATCAGACCGGAAAATCACTTAGTATTCACTTAAACGTTTCGGAACCTGTTCGACATTTTTCGCTCAGACTCGAGGACCTTCTACAAACGTATGGCGAAGTCTCGATGGACAACTCAATTGCGCTTGTCACCTCTGAATCAGCGAAAGGTACTAATTACGACCATTAGGCTGGTTGGCCTCTGCAGACGGCACAAGGTTAGTCGTCAGCGTCTTGTCGCTGTGGTCGCCGCCGCTCGATCCGCACATCATTGCCGACACATTTTTAAACCGAGGCGTCCGCCTGCTACACTTTACAAAGCGACCACACATCGTCGCTGGTTCGACTTTACCTGCCACGCCAAGTGCCAATCAGGCGTAGTCGTTCAGTCTGTACCAGAGTAAGCTAACGCTGTTTCTTGAATGTTTGATTTATAAACAAACTACAAAAATGGCATAAATGTTTAACTACTCCAATGCTGCTAGAGCAGAGTTGGGAGGCGTATGTTTACTTACGAATATTAAGTTCCTGACCGTTGCATGGCAGCGACACCCAAACAGGCAAACAGTTCAACAGAGACAATTACCGAGTACGTAATGATGCGCCTGCAAACGTCACATATTGAATCATGCAATAACTTGCTTCAGTGCGTCCTCCTCAGGCACCATAATTGACTTATCGATTGAGAAACGAGATTTGCGTGTTTTCATAGAGTGTATTCACGTGATTATTTGGCGAAGCGTCTGTGCCTTATTCGTCCAGCTTGCGCTATTCACATCATGGTGCTTCATAACGAGGTGCGGATTCTGGTATGGCAAGGAAATTCTGTGTAGGCATATGCCATTTTATGCTTACTGATGGACTGTTTAGTTCTTTGACTGACAGGCGACAACACCCGAATGGTTCTGGTTTGCCACTTTTCTTGATTTACTTCATCGTTCAACCATGCGATGGGATACTTGACAATATCGTTTCCATTTTGGAACTGATACGTGCAGACACCATGTCTGTTGTCGAAGTCGAAGGAGAGATACCTGAGTGGTTCCTCATTACTTGTGGAGTTCGTCAAGGGGAACTGTTCTGCATGATTTGCGAAAATTATTAAAAGTGCTATCGAGCAAGAGCGTGAGAGGTGCATTTTGATGAACCAGCTCTCTATGCACGCCGTCCATCATAACCGTTTGGATATTTTAATATTGGTCAGGATAACTGATGAATAAATATCGTTGGATGAAAATATACGGAAAACTTTAGCTGAGAAAATAATGATGTACCAGAATTTAGCCATCGAAATGAAAAATTTTTCAGTTCCTACTTCCATTTTTTCCAACTTACGCGAATTGTCTCCTCTGCCACAGTCTGTCCTCACCGTATCCTCAACCAGTGGGTAAATGAGTCAGCATTTAAACTTTCAATGATGACCAGAGGGTGGAGCAAAACTTTCCGTCTGGAAAAACTGAACCAATCAAGAAACTATTATATTACTGATCCATGACACTGCCCAGTTTATTAGTTATGTTCAAAACCGTCCTGTATTGATAAAAGATGAGACAAATTATATACAACTAATCGCAAGCGTATCTTTATGCAGAGTTGCAATTAGTCGGGTATATTTTGGTTTCATTATATATTGCTTTTAGTTTTGCTTCTTCTGTGTTTCTTGTATGTCTTCTTATATGTTTACATGTTTTATATTTTCACCTGGAGGTTCGCTCAAATCGAAAAT